AATAAACAGAAAAGTCAAGGTTAAATTTGGTACTCCTCCAGTCCTTAATATAAGACCCATTTAACTAATTTGATTAGATTAAGGAAGTTAGGTAAGTTAGTTAATTATAAGAAATGTGACATGTTTTTCCTAAAATATCATAATCATTTTTTTTAATACCCCTTCTTCTTCTACTACTTGATTATGGTTGAAGGAGTATCTATAAGGGTAATTTAGATAAAATTGATAAATATGAGAAATAGGTCTTATATTTAAGACCAAAACCAACTTAACAATTGGGTCCTATATTAAAGACCGGAGGAGTACTTTGCTTGGAACTAAGGGCAAGTATATATTAAATTATTCATTGTAGTATTAATGAGCTGATTGAGGACGAGGTTATTATTGGTTATTGCTTTGTCATCATAAAGAAGCTGCTAACCTACAAATTTTAATTATATATGGTGATTAATTAATAATTTAAATTAAGGGTTCTTTTATTTTTTATTTTTAGTTTGACTGTAAGTCCAAAAACATTATTTAATGAAGCCAGATCTGAATATATGTTCTGATATTCTATTTCGATAATTCTTCATTGGTGGAAAGAGATTGAGCAACTAGCTATTTGCCTTGTGTCTTGGTGAACCATAAAAACATAGATATTAAATGCGAGTCTTTTTGGAGAAATGGGATAGTTTTTCAACTTGGCCGAATTTGCCAAATGGCGTGTTGGCTGTTAGGAGAAATGTAAACGTTTTCTTTTGTTTCTTTTTTATGCTTTAAAAAACTATACAAGTTATGGTTTTAGCTTTAAAAAAAAAGTTCACTTTTTAGACATTTTTTATATTCATATTTAAAAGCCATTTTATAAAATCTATAAAATAGTTAATAAATAGTGTCCCTTAGTATCAATATTACGAGGAATTATAACCCTGAGGCCTAGCATAGTTGACGCTTAGTTAAGTTCTTTAAGTATCTAGTTAGAGACACTGAACTTAAGCCAAAAAAAAAAAAGAGGAATTATGATGGCCGGAGAGAAAGATCAAGAGAGCAGTGTGAGATCAGATTATAATTTATTACATATAATTAAGGTAATTTTGGAAAGACGAGTAATTTACTAATTTCATCAACTGATTTTCAACTAAGTACTTACTTTAAATTCATTTTTAATAGAATATATTAGAAGTTAAAACCTCGTACTCGAGCATTTCAACAAATTAACACTTTATATGTGCATAGGAATAAAGAATTGGGACAGAGACTTTTGAAACAGGTGAACCTCAGATAACTCGAACACATACAATTCATCCGACAACTCATAAAACTTAGATGCACAGAATCCTACTTTATAAACTTTGAAAAAGAAAAGAGAAAAAAAGGAAACATCTCAATTTCTTCTTTATGTCTGTTTGAGAAATAAGTTACAGATTGGCGTGAGTGGCAACGACCTGGAAATGGTTAAAAAAACAAAGTAAAGACTTGGAAAATTATGTCTAAGGGTTAAATTTAAAAATCTTTTATTTCTAAGGACTATTAATAAATGTTCATTGTTCCACTTATAAATTTGTTGTTCCACTTATCAATTCGTATTCTTTGGAGTGATAAATAGTATTAAATATTTTTTAGTTGTAAATTTGTATTATGTGAATAATAAAATACTCGTAATTTGATTGGTATATTTGCATTATATAAGTGGTAAACTTGAGGATTTTATTAAAAGTTAATTTGTAAATTTGGTTAGGGAGAATTGCAATCAAGTTTCAAAGAAGAAATATAATTACCAAAAAGTTCCAATAACAACTTAAATAGTCTGTAATAATAAGTCCAAGAATAAAAAATGACAACTTCTAACTTGTCATTGGAACTTATTAGTGGTTATTTTTCTTTATTGGGACTGCATTGTAATTTTCCCATTTGGTTATTTATAATTCTCCCTAAAGACTATTTACCTTCAAGCAAGTGATTGGGATTTCTATTTCTGACTTTTATAGGCTCAATGAGTCTTCAGGTGGAAATTAAAACATGGTTTTAAAAATGGTTTTATAATATATATATACACAAAATAATTATATGAAAGAAATTTTGTTTCGACTTGCGTAAAATTACTTTTTTAAATTGATTTTTGGATAAACCAAGATAGGCCTTTTTTTTTTTGGGTCCACATAACCTGAGAAGAATTAGTTTCTAATGTCAACAGACTTATCTGTACAAAAAAATATATGATTTATATACATGTTCATCTTTATTTGAAAAAAAAAAAAACTCGTTACAATTACTTTTCTAATGTCCAAGTGCTTTTTTTTTTTTTGGGGTTCATATATGGTAAAGTTTAGTGATGAGTTAACTCTGAAAGAGACTCATTAGAGCCAGTTTCAAAGCTAAAAGAGCGGCTCATAAAAATACTTACAAATCACTTATAAAAAGATTCTCATTGTAACGGAATTTAGATTCAAAATAAATATATCTTATATAAATATAATCTTAATTCATCGAGTGTTGATGATATATATGTTGAGTCAAAAGAGTGAGAATAATAATAATAATTATTATATATACAAATATAACTTTTTTATAAATGGTTGTGTTATGCAAATATTTTTTTCCTTTTGTGAATCATGTTGTTGGCCTCTTTTGACTACTAATCATCACATAAGCTAGGCGTGCGCGAGATAGAAACCTCAATTATCTGATTAAAAAAAACCTGACTTCCAACAATAACATGAGTCTCTAGGCTCCTTTACGAGAATTCCCCCAGTTGGAATTATAACTAAGAGAAATTGATGTTATAAATGTAGAAAATAGAAATTGTATTGAAAGATAAAAGATGGTTGTACAACTTCCATTCCCTAGTATAAAAACTAGTTATGGAATTATCTTTGGTTCTAAATATAAAATTTTAATTCATTCTGTCTTTCATATTAATTATTTTTCTTTTTCAAATTATTCCTATTGATTACACATGTTAAAAGAGTTTGTATCGAAGAGTAATTCAATGCAAATAATTTAGGAAGGCATTTTAGAAAAACCAACACATATTTTTGACAAATAAATAATTTAACTAATTTTATTAACCATCTAGAATAGTTAAGTAGATACTAAATTATAAAGACTGGAGGTATTACAGTATTAACTCTACAACAAATAATATGGATATAAAGGCAAACACTAATGGTGCTAAGTTATAAGCTATAAAATGGGATTGAACCCATTGGCCTTCTCCAAGGAAGTTCACGTGTTAATAGGTTATAAAGTCATTAGTATTAATTTTCAACTTTATACCATCTAAAAACTTCTCATAATAGGCCCAGTTGAAGAATCCCCTAACTTTATAAGTGGCCTCTTAGTCCAGACCTACTAAAATAAAGCACGTTCACATGTTGGTTTTTAACCTTTGGGTCTTTCAACATTATGGGCTTGTATGGGACCCATAGCCCATTGAGTTTGATGGACTTATAATCAACAAATCAATAAGGATTGGGTTTTGAATAGGTTAATTCTTCACAATATGACAAATTATTTAAATTTTCCTGGAAAAAGAATTCACATTTAATGTCCTACAGTGTCACAACAGAATTGCCGCTCATAAAAAGATACAAATGCCCAGCAAAAAAATAGGTTAAAGTATACTTTTGATCCTTTAACTTTATATAATATTTCATTTTGGTCATTTAACTTTAAAGAGTAAAATTTTAGTTCTCTAACCCTAAAACCTTTAACAAAAAATGATGATATTAAACTCCTGAATGTTGATAAAACATTACTAAATGCTAACACATTAAGTTTAATTTTCAAAATAATTATGATTGCCACAAAAAATTATCAGACTAACAATTTTAGGGTTAAAAGATTAAAAATATATTTTTTAAAGTTAAAGACAAGATTGTTAAATTCACAAGTTTAAACAAACTAGTGATAATGCTATAAACTCATATCATAAACTCGGATCGTAAACTCGTAAGAGTTTATTTTTATTAATAAATTGGTATTAAAAGTATATAATCAAATAATTAATATATAAAAAATGAGAATAATTTTATTTAAAGATATTTTAAATTTAAATAATTAAAATTATATTCATCAATATTCATAATTTATCACATTCAACAAAGAAATTTTTATAAAACTCATATATAAGTCACTAAACATACTCAAATCCAAAATTTATTACAAGTTTAAGAACAAGTTAACATGATTTTGTAAGCTAAAAATGTAAAAAAATTAAACTTGGTAAATGAACTCGTAAGTTTAACCGAGTTTACAATAATCAAGAGTTTAAGAGTAAATCGACACGATTTTGTTAGCTGCAAACGTAAAAACGTTAAACTCGGATAGTCAACTTACGAGTTTGACAATAGTGGTTAAAGGACTAAATTAAAACCTTACATAAAATTAAAAAACCAAATGTATAATTTAATCCAAAAAAAATTTACCGAGAAAGAAAGAAACTGTACACATAATTGGCCAAGGTGTTGATATAGTTAAGGAAAGGATGAAGGAAAAGCCTTGTTCCCTTTGAATGCCATGTGAATTTAATCGGCCACAGTGGTAACAAAACCGACGATGAAGGTGATAATTAGTATCCGCTGAAGTTCTGCCATTAGTACAAACGACATTATGATACATGAAAATGCATTAAAAGAAAACAAAACACATTGTTCAAAAGGGAGGACAACAGAAACTAAAATCAAGTCATGTAAAACTTAAAACATATAATCTAAGATAAAATTTTTTTATAAAACACATTTAACAAAATCAGAACAAAAAAAAACTTATACAAGAAAACTAATATTAAACGTCAAAATAATAACTTATAAAAATATTAAATTTTATATGAAAATTTGGATTTAAATAGTTCAAATACAGTATAAATTAATCATATATCATCACTGTTGCCACAAATAAGGAACTAAGTAAGTAGTTCAGAGAGGACATACATCAATTACACATAATCTTTTAAAAAATAAAAATAAAATCAAAACCAGTTAGTCAAAACGACATCTCTATTCATGTCGCAGACCATGTTACGGAGGAAGCTTCTTTTTATTTACCCGGGAATACCCTTCATGTGTGGCACTACTACTAATGCATCCAAACTTCCTCTTCATCTTCGTCCACACACTGACACTTTCCTTCTTCACAGTAGTACTGTTGTTTCTATGGCACTTCTCAATCTCTTTTTTCATCAAAAGGCTTTCTCTTTCCAGTTCACTTACCTTCATGTTCATCATTTGCATTTCTTCATCTTCCTGGTGATCTTCTTTTGCCTTCTGATGCTCTATCTTTTCCTGTACCTCTGAAGCTATTTGATCCCTCAGATGTAACTGCCCCACAAACAGTATTTGCACCACCATCCTCAACGGCAGCCTCGAGTTTTGCGCTGCGTGTTGCAGAGCTTCTTGTGACATCTTTTGGCAATCCAAGACTTGGCATACTTGTTCTTTCTCTGCTTCTGTCAAACTCTTGTGTTTCTCCAAGTATATGTCAATAGCCCTGTCAAAAGAATTTTTTTTGAATGAAAACTGAAATCTATTGAAATAATCTAACAAATATAAGAACACTTATTTTTCTCTATCAACCTTCCCCTCAATAGTAATAGAAGGCGGTTGATCTAAGATACAAAAGTTACCTTCTAAACTATGGTTTTAAAATAGGGAGGGATTTCCTGTTAGAATGCCTTAAGTACAATTTTCCACTTCCTATGGAATAATAATCTAGCATCATCAATTTCATCTTTTAAGGGATGACATGAATTCGTATTCACATAGTGTATTGAAAAAATAGCTAGACATAACAAAACATATTATAGTTTAAATAGGACCAGAATTCTTTTTAGCTCTTCACTTACTAATCCTCTTACACCTACAAAATCCTCCCTGAAATCAGAGTTCATATATATGCATTGTGAAATTTCTCATTTTAGGGAATTCTACAATACCCAATGCTTTGCATCCTTATTGGGAGGATCCATTTCCACTAAGTGGCTTACTTTAAAGAAACTTTTGGTCTTTAAAACTAGCCAATTGCAATTTCTATTTGACTTTGCAATATAATTTTTTCAAGTTTTGGTCCTTGGATGCAATTTTTCCTACTTCAAATTATGGAGAGATTTATCCTATAGTACTTTCTATGTTCACTTGAACAAAAAATATTACAGACTTGTCTGGTGTAACGAGACAAACTATGTCTTATGCTCATTATCTCTTATCTAGGATTCATCTTTTTTAAATATCATACTTCAGAAAACATCGAAGGGACTAAATAATTTAGAGTGAAGCAATGAGGTTTGACCTGTAAATTCCATCAGAAGGCTTTTGTGATCCTAAAGATGCTGCAACTGCCAATTCTGCAAGTGAAATGAACTCATCTATTCCCAAATCTGTGTCACTACTTGCTACTTCTCCCAAATACTCTTCAACAAGTTCTGCTACTTTTAGGAAACCCATAGGGTCTGATGATCCATTGAAGTTCCTGTAGAAACTTTTCAAGATTCTTTTCAAACAGTCAACATTAATGCACTGCGAAGGTATGAACAGGTCATTTAGTGAAGCTTGCTCTAACTGTTTTCCTATTCTTGTCTCAAACCCAGTGACACAATCCAAGCTTGACCCTAGAAGGATCGAGGAACGCAGCAAATCAAACAAGAGTGAGCAAGGAATAAGCCCTTTTTCATTTGGCAAAAGCCTCTCTATTGCCTCAATGATTTCCCTTATGGAGTTCCTCTTGTAAGCTGACATTTTCTGATCTCCTCCTGAAGCAACAAGGCAGGAAAAAACCCATTTTTCCGTGTACTTGCATACTGATGCAGCGACATATTCTGGCGCGATTCCTTGAAGATTCATGACATGGACAATTGGCTCATAAATTTGCACAGGAAGTGTAGTTAAGTCCTCTTGATCACAATCAATAACAAAGAGCTTTCTCCTGGCATTAGGCCAAGCATTATTGTTTTTATTATCATCACCACCATCACCAACACCGCCGTCACTTCTCTTCATCGGTTCGCCTAGAAGGCAAGGATTTTTCTGAACCTTTTCGACGATGGAATCGAGGCAAACATCGAACAAGCCGATTTCCTTTGCTTGGTGAAGATGTTCAGTGATGCAACGTAAGGCCTTGATGGTTTCCTTCCAGCTAGGAAGGACTGTCTGTTGAAAGAAGGCTATGACTCTTCCTATGAGATTATTTTTGCAGCGACTTTCACTCATTTCTAAATAACATGCCAGGCAGGCAAGTGGTACAACGTTGACAGTGGTAATCTGAAGTTCAAATCCATAGCAGAATTTCACAACAAGCTCAAATGTTTCTGGTTTTGCAGGAATGCTTCTAAGGAATGTAAAGATTTCATCTTTTGAACTTTTCTTTTCAAGTAATGCAGCTACTTTGGTTGATTTTGCAGCTAAAACTTCCTGCACAGGGAATCACAAATTAAAAGATTATCACATCTGATAGAACAAATTCATTGATCTTTGCTGGTAGATTAATTAAAGAATCTGATTGTTTAGTATGTTTAGTATTTCTCATAGTTCTTAAGCTGAAAGGATGAAATTATCTTACTTGGACCTCAAGATTTGATAATGATGTAGGGTTGGAGAACCTGAAATCAGAAAATAAAAGGGAAAACAAACACAGTGAAATTTCAGAGTTATTAAAAATTCATGGAAAATTCAAAAGTAATGACAATAGATAGAGAATCATAATATGCAGTTAATTATTTACCTTGATGAGATATTATTCTTTTCTTTGTTGGACATCTTAATGCTTCAAATGTAGGGTTTGCTTCTTGATTTGATCTAATAGGCAAAGTCCAGAACTGTCCCAAACAGCCATAAATGGTTCAAAAATAACAACTAATAATATCTAAATTTTCATGGTCTCAATTTAAATTGTAAAATAAAACTCAAATTTCATCTGATAAGACTCTAGAAAGTCATTAATTGTTCACCAAGTTTTCTTCTTTCATTTCTGATTGAAATGATAATTAATGATTACTTTTTCCTTCGCAACACAAAATGAAGCAGATCATCGATTTTAATTTAATAAATAATTACAAAGATGCAACAATTATAGCTCCATTTCAAGCATGCCTAATCATATATATATATATATATATATATGGATTACTTATACAGGAAACTTAGGAACAAAAAATTCAATGCCTATATTTGGAAAATCCAAAAAATCCTCAAGTTCTGAGGATGCATATATGGCTTCAGAACTAAGAAGAAGAAGAAGAGAAGAAGAAGAAGAGGAAGAGGAAGAAGAAGAAGACTTACTGGGAAGTGAGCGTAGAGCTTAAACTGTGATCAGTATGAGTCAGAGATGTTTGTTTAGCAAAAATTTGAAAACTTCCACAACGTTAGAGGAAGAGATTGCTTTTGCGATTTAAATGGATTCTGTTTTGGAGTGTGAGATTTTTTATGATGCTGATAACTAATTTTTCCAGTAATTTAAACGTTGAATATTTGTGTGTGTGTGTGTGTCTATCTTTTCGGCCAAAGAAAAATTATTAATTAACGTTGCTTATTTTGCTTTTAGGTTTTTTGAACTTGGGTTTTAAATATATACGTTGAACATTTTGGCCAAAACAACCTTGAATATTAATATTAAATTCTTTTTAAATAAATTGATGATGTAAGATATGAATAAAAATGAAAGATGAACTAGTTTTGTGTAATTTTTTTCTTGCAATTCACCAGTTTTATTCATGTAATAACAAATTTTATTAATTCACTTATTTTTAATTTCGTGCATCCATATTTAACACTATTAATTTATTTTCCTTTCCTAATATTTTTTATGTTTCATAATTAATTTTTATCACATAAAATATTTAATATTACATTTTTAACATTTTAAAAACAAAATCTTTCCTAAATACGGAAAATTTAAAACGACGTGGACTATTTTAGGTGGCCTTTTTAACTTTTCCCCCTTATTTTGTTTTGGTGAAAATTCCCCCTTTTTTTCAGTTAATGCTCAAATTAGTGCTCATGGACTGATCGCTATCATAAAACTTTTACTTGAAATAACTTTAAAAATAATTTTATTTAATTTTTTAAAATAAATGAAAACTTAAAACTCTTATTCAAATGTACTAAATGCATTGCATTGTTTGTTTGGTTTTATTTTCTTTACCCTGTTTTAATTTTTAGAGCTCATTGTATTTTAATTTTGGAAAAATTGTCAAAAAAAGACTCTGGAATTTGAAAAACGAAGATAAGGACCGCTAACAATTTCACTATGGATTTTGACAACTTCATGACATATTATTATTGTCAAAAACCATAGTGAAATTGTCATGGATCTCTATCTGTGTTTTTCAAATTTCAGGGTTTTTAATTGTAATTTTTGTTTTAATTTTCATATCGAATGTAAATAAAAGGTTTGAGATAAATTAAAAAGGCAAACTGATCTAACTTTTTTTTTTTGCCAACTAGGCTATTGATCAAACTACAGACACAATATCTATATATGTGTGTGTTAATGTGTGTGTATATATGTATATTAATTTTAGACCTTTTTAAATTCTAATACATGTTTCTCATCAATCATGATTTTTATACACACTTGATTTAGAAAATAAATAAGTAAAGCAAGTAAACAACAAAGAAATGTTGAATCATGAAGTAGTGTTGTTCACCTCAACAACCTCTTTGATTTTCTTAACAATTTAACATTGGTTGAATGAGTACAAGAATACAATAAAACTGATACATTATGACAAAATTCTTAAATATTTTAGTACTTTTTTAAAATTAAAAAAGTAAATACTTATAATTTTCATTAAACCTGCGACCTTTGGTCCAAAAAAATTAAACCTGCGATCATTTACAGGCTAACTTACACATTATAAAGTAATTTTAGTACTATCATGAACCAAATTTTACTCACATGGAGAGATTAAAAAGAATAATCTAGTTAAAATAACTCATTTCTTCCGTACCCGGGGAAAAGGCGTTTCCCCGAAAAGCATTGTAAAGAAACCAAACGCATCGAAGGAAGGAAAGGAAACATGCTTTCCTTTCCATAGGACCAAAATCGGCCAACCAAACGGCCTTGAACAAGATTCCCGCTACCCGTCTGGATCACCGATCACCGTATCCTTCTTTCACCCTCACCTCTCCTTCTGCTAGTGCCCCGTCTCCACACTAGCCGGTGTCGGAGAAGCTTATCTCCCGCGATAATCTCGCAGATTGTGTACGGCGGCTTTAAGCCTCTTTCCCTTGACGAGCTTCCAGATCCTCGCTGGCGTCGCATAAAAACTGGGAAAGAGAGGAGGAGATCAGGCTCATCGTTGGTCTCAACATTCCTCTTACAATCGGAACTCTGCAATCTGATATAGGTATTTTTCAATGCTTCGGTCCTTTAACCAATTTAATTTCATTTAATTTAGTTAATTCTAATTATTTTAGCTCCTAAACTACTGACTACGTTTCTGATTGCTGCTCGGTATCGGCTTTGCTTTGCAATTTTCTTTTTAGATTTTGCTATGTATGAAGTCATGGTTGTTTGGTGGCGTTGTAGGATGCTGTTCTGTCGTTCTGGTTATCCTGATAATGAAATTCGCATGCGTCGTTGTCATATGTGGGAAGTCAGCATTCTAGTTATGGGGTTTGGGTATTTGCAGATAATGACAATCGTCAATGATCTTTCTTCCCACCATTCTTATTCTGTTTTTCTTGCATTTACTTCATTTCTAGGCATGCATCCAAGCAATTCTCCATAACATAGGACCAGAACTTGGGAAACAAGAAAAGAATAGAAATTGGGAACGGAAAAGACAGGGTCAGTGCAAACTGTGTCAAGCAGAGCAAGCGAGACGAAGCTTGAGGGAGACAAAGGGAGAGAGATTGAAGGAAGGAATAGAGAGAAGGAAGTTGCAAAATTCAAGCATTGGAGTTTCACCGAGGTAACTTCTGCCTGTTAATTCTCAACTTCAAATCTCTGTTGGTCATTGAGGAAGCAACGTTTTTGAATTTTGGTTATTATGCTCTGTCTAACATGATATGTTTGATGTTGAATGCCTACTGGGGAACATGATGGGGAGGAATTCTCAGAATTTAATCATGTTTTTTGATGCCAAAGGTTTGGGGTTTGGGTTAGACTGCTTAGAATTGGTGTAATGTTGGCTCTGTCTCAAATGTGAGTTTGGGTGAAAATTCCTGCTTGCATTTTCACAGTTCACTGTTAGCATAAAGACTGCTGTCTAATTTCTCTTTTCAAGTTATTAAAACATGCTTGATGATTGATGTTGCCGTTTGAGAATTGGTTTACATCTATAGAATTGAAACAACTGTTTGTTATGAAACTCTGTCCTTGATGTAGGACTGGGTCCAAATTATTGTTCATGCTCCTGTAAAATTTTCGTTTAAATTTCTATGAATCTTTGCTGCTATTTTTTTTATGTTTTCGGTACTTCCTGGTGGATGTAAGTGGATCTGGCTGCATGATTTGGCACTTGGGGGGGGGGGGGTACATGTAGAACATGCTTGGAAATGAATTCTAATTCTTTGATTTTCAGTCTAGGCAACATTTAAGTATTTCGTCGGGTCTTCAGGTGTTGGCTGTATGGTATCGTTTGTTAGCATCATTTGTTAATGTTTTCGTGATCAAGACTGATGTGTTAATTATAGCTTGACTCTTACTAACCTTCCCCCCCTTATGAATCTATCTAACATCTGAATTCTGAAATACATTTATGCATAATTCATTACTTATTGAATGCTCTAGGGCTCTGATGGGAATCAGTAAAATAGAAGTGAACTTGAGGAGGTTGCTGGCTGCTGCTCCTCAACAGCAAAATCAAGCAAAACTTGTACATGTAAGTCTGAAGATATGGGCTGACAAGTTACATTGAAGTTTTCGGGCTTGTTTGAACCTCAGTTAGCTCCAAACCTTTTTAAGTTCCCTTAAAGTCTATGTTCTTATTAATTAGTGAATTTTCATTGAATCTGTAGTATGTTGCTACTTTACGTGAGCAATTGGAACAACTGGCTGAAGAGAGGACGCCAGAAGGATTGCCAAGGTAATTTGTGCATCTTTTGATCTACAATTTTCTTTAATCTCACCAATGATCTGTTTATTCTAGAGTTTCTTAATTTCACCCTTGGCCCATGCTCGCTGAACTTTCCTTTCCTCACCTTTGTTTTGCCCTATATGTGGTCCTTGAATTCTGTAGGTCATAAATAGAATAAGGCTTCCCTTCTGAAGTGACTTCATATGGGTTTAAACATTTCCATAGGACAAATTATTACTTATAGCATAATGTGGGAAGAAGACATTCGGTCTTGCATTTTAGTGCTTGTATGCAGTTCTCTTGGAATCGTTCTCTATTAGCAAGCGTATGTGTTTGATGCTCCCTTATTTATTGGGGAAAAAAAAAATGTTCAAATCACACAGGAAAAGATGATTCACCTGGAACATCTCTTCTGTTGCATATATATATATATATATATATATATATTTTAAATTTCCAGTAGCTGTTTTTGCCAATTTCTCCTTTATAGTTTATTGGAATGGAAATTAAACTTGAGGATAAGTTTTGCAGTCCTAGGGGTTTGATCATTCCATCTATAATCTTCTCTCCATTTATAGTGTGTGTTTGTCTACTGAATGTGAGTCACTTCATGTATGCGTATAAATTTGGTCATTCAGGGTTTCAAAGGCCGTGCTGAATGATTATTCAGAAAAAATTGAAGTCATTGCTTCCAAACTAGCTAATCCGTTGGTACGTATTTACTATTCTTTTTGCAATGTATCTTCCAGAGAGGTCCTTGTACCATTTAAACTCGTGAAATTTGAGAGAGTAAACTGAAAGTAAGCTTGAAGAATTTTGTGGTCTAACGTAGCTTGAAGAATTTTTGTTTGTACCATTTAAAATAAAGAGAAGGTGTCACTAAAAAAAAAATGAAATTTGTTTAAAAAATATCGTTGACAATGGTTTAAGAAGGAAACATTGTTTTGTTAATATTTTATTATGAGGCAACACATCAGTGCAACTTCCAACCTACCATATGGAATGGGAATAAGATAGTATAGCAAGTGTTGGGGGATTTAAGTATCATTTGATAAAGAATGAAGGGTTTCTATTTAATGTAGTTAATATCCAGCTTAAGAGTTCCCACTAGACAGTGAAAGTTTAGATTATTTTAATGATCAACTTGAATGTTTTTTTGCTACATAATATGTGCATTTCTTGTAGGAGTGCAATAATTGTTTCACAAGAAACATGAAGCAAAATCTGTAGTTTGATATGTATTTGTAAGCTACTGAAGTTTTTACTATGTTATGTGTTCAAAGTTAATAGTTTCTGAAAATTAAACTGCATATTCTATGAAATAAAATTTGATACTCAATTGATGTACTGTTGTGAGCAGTATCACAAAGTGTAAGGTTAAGGGGCAGTGGGCATATTTTAGTATACTATTTTTAGTTCTAGTCTTATAAATTATAATCTTGAATTTTTGTGATACATTCGCAATTCAATATGAAGCCGTATGTTTTGCATTGTTTACTCTTTCCATCTTTTCTTCTCAACATTTATTTCAGTTTTGGGCCAGATAAGAATTTTTCGCCGGGGTTGTTATTTTAACCCTTTTAATTTGCTTACTCAGCCTGAAATGCAAGCATCTCAGGACCTCGAAGTAAGCTCTGTTAAAGAAAACCGATCTGACATTGGGGAGAAAAAGCAGATTCCCCTTTCTTCGGGATTGAGAAGAAGACCTGTGTAAGCAAATTTTACCCCTTCTTACTGCTTTGTGTGATTTGTAGATTTCCCCCTCTGATCTCGTCCATTTAACAGGCCTAACCCAAGTACTGAAAATAAACCTCATGAACCTGCTGATGTGGATTCAGCACCTGTCAAATTGGATGCTGAAGCACATGCGCACATTGATAAGCACAGGTCTTGTTTACTTGAGTTCGATTGAATCCCATTTGATTGTTGGATTGTGCTGCTCTGAGGACTCTATATATTTATAATTTGTGAACTCTGACCTAGCAAGCTAATTGTGTTCAATTCCCTATGTCAATCTGTTTTTACTTTGCTTTACATCAACAGGTCACATTTATGTTCAACGGATCATGATTTATTGGTCGGATCATGACTAAACTGTGGTTAAATTAGTTATAACTAAATTAGTTTACTTTAGATTATATACTGATTGTTTTAAATAACACTAGAATAAAAACAAAAAGAGTAAATTTTTAACAAACCAAAACTCGGTTTCCATTATATTTTTTATTTTCATTTTTGTTTTAGGTAAAATAATTTGTATACAATTTTAAATATATTAATTTAATTATGAGGAGTGCAACTGCTGTTTGATCAATGAAACATGATCAAGTACCTTATTTGATTCAACGACCAGTCTGATGAATTTAATTCTTGTGTCATTTTTGTTGTAATTTCCTCAAGGCGGACGGCATTTGTTGCATGTTGGTTTAATTACTCAAATACAAAACCGGAGGAGCTTATCCAATTCGATGATTAGATGCAAATAAACTAAAATTTTTGATGAATTATGTTTTATTATGGAGGGAAACACATTATAAACATAAGAAAGAACATAGTACTTGGTTGAGAAAAAGGTTTACTCCTGCTGTTTGCGTAATTGTTTGACTTTGTAATCTGTCCATGGAATTAAATTGTTGATAAATTACCTTTATAGTCTTTCCGTTCATCACGAAAATGTTATTCTGTTATCATTAGCCATTATTATGTTGTCCTAGGCTCTTATAATAAAGAAGAAGTTCATGTAGGTTAGAACTCTCTGACTGCATCCAACACATTTTCTACTGTTCTCTTCCTCATATTTCTCTAATAATTTATGAGATTAATAATTGTCACTTTCTATATTTTCTCTGCTTTTTCCTGTTCGCTTCAGATTGCTTTATTTTTTTTATTTCATTGCTCTCTTGATTATCCTATTTATTCTTGTTAAGTTTTTTGCCCTCTACAGAAAGCTTCAAGATGATTTGACTGATGAGATGGTCGTGTTGGCAAAGCAACTTAAGGAGAATAGCCTCATGATGAGCCAGTCCCTGCAAAATACTGAAAAGGTCTACATTATGCTTCACCAAAAAATGATTATTTTCACGGTCTACTATCTCTGATTCTTATTATAAAATCTACTTAACTAATTTAGATTGATTAGGAAAATTAATTAAATTAATTATTTATCAAAAATATGTGTTGGTTTTTCTAAAATATCCCTTTAAATCATTTACATTGAAATTACTCCTTGATGCAAGTTCCTTTTAACATGTGCAATTAACAGAATAATTTGGGAGGAAAAAATGACAAGTACGAGGGACAAAATGGATTGAAGTATTATATTTAGTACTAAACTAAACCCCCAACTAATTCTTTTGTTAGGATCAGAAGTAGTACAATTTTATATACGATATGAGTGTACTGATTGTATCAGAATCGAGGAGTATTTATACAGCTCTATGTATAATAATATTGGAGCTTGAATGATGAGAGGTGTGATCATGGAAAGTGACCATGGGTGGCTTGTTTGCAGATACTTGATTCTACTGAGAAGGCCATTGAACATAGTTTGGCAAGCACAGGTCGTGTAAATACTCGAGCAACAGCTATATATTCAGAGAGTTCCAAGACCTCATGCTTGACTTGGCTTCTCATGTTTGTAATGACATGTGTGTTTGTCATGGTTGTGCTTCTCATTCGTGTCACATAACATTGTACTTCACCTCTCACGTTTTCTTTTCCTGCTCAAAATGTCATTTTGCGTATTTATGTCAAGATGTAGGTTTGTTTTTTGCTCTTAGAGCGAATGCTTTTCTTTTTATATTTTGCTGTTAGCGTTCCATGAAAGAAAGGTTAGAGGACGTAAGTAAAATATGAAGTCAAATAACTATATCTTTAAATGTGTTAAATGAGGTTTGAGTAAGGAATATAATTAATAAAAAATCTTAATGACAAGTGAACAATTATCATTTGCTACTCTGATATTTGTAATTAGGATTTTTTAGTAATTATGTTTTTTACTTTGGATTTCATTGCAATTCTCCTTAAAAATAATTTCAATTTGTTTTCTCAAAATACTATGTTGTTAGTATCATGATTTCCTCCCTTGTTCTTGCTCATCTTTATAGAAAATAGTCGGATGTTACCCAGTATGAGGGGAGAAGGACACAAAATTATCACTGAAATATGCAAATCTCATATTAGGATTGTTCTTTTTGAAGTAAAATAGTTAATGATCACAAAGTCGCTTTTATCAACTTTCCATTCACTTGACGGACCAAGTTTTGATGGTTGTTAGTGGAGGGATTTTTTTTTTTTTGTGGATAATGTGTTTAAATATGTTGGAAGTATAGGTGAAGGAGTATTTAGTATCTGAAAGTTTTTTTTGGCTTTTATATTTTTTAAAAGTTTTATTTTGTAGCATTTCTATCCTGAACCATTATTTACCATTAAGTTTGACAATTAATGATATTGGTTAAATCGTATAATTTAATGGTTAAACTTAACTAAAGATAACGATTATGGTATTTTTTGTTATGGAAATAAACTTTCAAGGCATATAAGTGTTAAAAAAAATAAAAAAAAGTGTTGAGTGCTCATTCATGTATACTTTTAGGGTATTTAAACATTTTTGTTTTTAACATAAGTGCTATGGTCATTTTGCAAAAAAACAAAAAAAGTCAAAGATCTTAGGCATTTAAGGAGAATTTATTATTTCATTGTCCTAATATAAAATTTGCACATTTTAAAGATATTTTGGTGTCATCCTAACAATCGTGGTGGATTTTACATTTTCACACACCTCAATGCATTCACCTCGAAATTTAAAATGATTTTGAGGATACCAGGAATTTGGTTTGGAGAGGAGAAGAGACTTGCAAGATATATAATCTAGAGACTTAGTTTTTAGGGATTTTTGCCAAAATGCTATGAACAGTGAAATAAAATACTAAAATGCTACAGCGCAGAAAGATATTACCGAAATGCTACACTTGAAATTCATCACCAGGAGATGAATTTATAAACTTCATCTTGCCCAGAACGAGTTCTTCAATAAAGTGGGAAAATTTGCAAATTCATCTGGTAGAGATGAATTTGTAAAGTTCATCTTTGAGTAATGAATTTCAAAAAAAGTACTTTTGTCCTTTCTTCTCCATTTCCATACGTATGAGCATCCTCTCCCTGTACGAATCTCTCAGAACCGCTTTTGTCTAAGTCAAAAAAGCAACTGAACTCTTTGCATGCGTCTGAAGCTTGGAAGAATATTAAGTCATCTCATCTCCCTTGCCCTGAAGCTATAATAGCGTTGTGGCTTGCTATATATTTTGCATCTCCTCTTACGCCCATGAATGCGTCTGAATCGTCCAAGCTTTACTTATACATTTTGCATCTCCTCTTATGCCAATAGCCCATGAATGCGTATGAGTCCTCCGCATGTTGAGCTTGTGTTCCCACTTCATGTATTCAGACTTCTCTCTTCTCTCTCATCATCTTACTCTGTCGTTTTATTAGTTGCTTCAGCCTCCTCCATTCTTTTGCTATCTTGTTTCTCTACTCTTACTTCCAAACATTCGACACATACTTTTACTACTGCTGAAGGTATGTTATTTCTCTTATGTATTTTTTATTTTGTCATTATAATATTTAATTTGATTTTCTTCTTTATTTTTTATTTGATAAACTATTATTTTAAATCTCCAGGTGCTAAGTGGTGGGTTGAACAATTTCAAAAATCTATACTCTTAGGTGCCTCTTATTTTGCCGCTAAGAATCCTCTATTGTATAGTTTTAAGATCTCAAGATTTTGCTTTGATCTCTATTACCCATTTAGTCCTATTTATAAGGCACTTTTAGTATATTTCACACAGATTAAAAAACTGTTAAAATAATTTCACATCTACTATCTCATAATTTGATTATAAAAGTAATACTAATCAAGCACAAAAATGTATATTTTCATCAAGTATTTTTTTTCCAAGAGTCAGATTTGTTATGCATGAAAAGAACTAATGGCATAGGAAAAAAAGAGAGTAGAAGAGGTGAATAACAAAAGGAATGAGTAGGGGAGAGTGGAAAAGATGAATAGAGAGAGAGAGAGAAAGTGGAACATGCGGGAATAATAGCATAAGAAGAAGACAAAATTGAAGGACATTTAGCACTGGATAAAGGAGTGAAGAAAATATACCAATTGTGCAAATAACTTAATAAGGATAATTATGTATGTTTGTATTAAAAATTATATCAAGTGCCTTATATATAGGATCAAAATTTACACTCTCTGTCTTATAAATAAAACTAGAGGAGTATCTTTTAAGCATATGATTTTTTTTTGAAATGAATATATAAGAAAAAAAATTCACAGCTTTAACTTTTTTCCCATATTATTCCTTATTTTCTATCAATTTTTATAATTTTTTTTTACTTGATCTTGATAGGTGTGTATTAAAGTAACTAACAATTAAAAAATTATTAAAATAAATGAAAAATTTTAGATATAAAAATAAATCTGAATAATTTTATTCATTTAATTATTTATTGTTATAAAAAACCGAGGTTAAGAAAAATAATTATAAAAATTTAAATTGTATTTAATGAAATCAAGTAAAATATGTTTATTTGCATTTAAACATATTTATAAAATATATATATATATGGGGTAAAACAATTTATAAAATTAAAAGTAACGAAAGAGATGTTTGAAAAGAAAGAAAATTTCAATTAGAATAGAATAAAGACAAAAAAAATTTAACTATTCGCTAAGGGTGTTCATGTAGATGAATAATTTCATTTCATTGTGTTTAAATATGTAAGATATTTTAGCTTAATAATAAATGATTTTGATTTGATTTCAATAAATTTTGTTATAAATATTGATAAGAAAAAGATTATAAATTTTTTTAGTACAAATTAAGGAGATTATAAAAAAGATCTATTCAATGGAAGCATGATAAGAAAAAATGTAGGGATTTAGTTAAGGGTACTTTAATATTTTTAAATTTATATTTTAGTATTTGGTCCTTATAAATAATTATAATTTTTAAGATCCTTCTCAATAAATATTATTTTTCTAGGTCCTTCCCCCTAATTTTTTCTTAAAATAATATAATTTTTTACCTATTTAGTAAATATTTTGGATAAAATAATGAGAATAAAATATAATATAAAAGTAAATTTTTATTAATAAGAAAATAGGTGGCAATATTTTGTTAAACTTTTTTCATTAATAAAAATGAATATCATAAAAAATTTAATTTTTAAGAATCTATAGTATACGTAGATTTGATATTACTTTTAAAACTATTAGAAATTTAATTAAAAGGTACGAATGAATCAAAATAAAATTATAATACATATATATATGAATAATTTTTTTAGCACTAGACTTAAACCTATGCGAACTATGCATGGGAAACCATGATTTGTGAGTCTTTCTATTTTCAAAGTTTTGTCTTCTCCCAATTGTACTTAATTAATGATTATAATGCAATATTTAGGAAATAGAATGGATCATAGAAAGAAGTTCGTATGTATATTTGCAAATGGATGAATTTATAATGGCCAAGCCGGTATAACATTTGAGTCCAACAGCGTGAAAATAATCAAAGTTGATGAAAATATTACATTGGACAAATTGAAGCAAGTTATTGGACAAAAGTTACGACTTCCTCCCAATCAAATGGTGACAAATCTAGTATATAGATATCCTACATGCATAAATCCACCACAATACCAAGCATGCAATTTGAAGGATGATGCAGATATAAAAGAAATGTGGCAAGTCAAAAGAAGATTTTCAACTCAATTGACATGTGCAGAATTGTATGCCAACATATGTAATTTTTCAGATTATGGTCATGTAGAATCACAACCAATGGATGATTGTGTAGAAAATACACTCCCGTTAAGTAGCAATGAGGTGAACATTATGGAACAAGGGTCCATGTTCAGCAATGACATGGAAAATTTTCAACCATTTGAACCTCCCATAAATGGTGGCAACAGTGGACCATCATGCTCTCTTCCTCAAATAGAAGACATTGTGGATGAATTTGAGGATGAAGATGAATATGATTCATGTTTAGATGCTAGTAGTGGGAGTGATAATGATGACAACGATAATGAATATGATTATATGAACGAGCAGAATGAGCTTGCAACTGCTTTCTTATCGCAAATTCACGTCGAGTCAGCTAGAGCTCCTGAGTTTAGTGAATTAGATAATATTCTAAATATTAGGGGAAATGAAGAATTATATATTGGAAAAATGTTTAGCAATGTCTGTGTTCTAAGACGTGCAGTGAAGTTATACTTTATTCGAGTTCATCATACATTTAGGGTTCACTATTCATGTAAAAAATATGAAGAATATCATTGTATTAATTATGGATAAAATTGAAGGAACAAAAAACTGGACCGGGAGCTAAACCGGTCGAGGCAGTGGTTCAAGAGTCACTGGTCGAACCAGAGGTCGGACCGGGGTCAAACCGATCATATTAAAATAATATAATTTAATTCACAATATTAAAATAGAACCGAATTCATAAATAATAATCACTCAAAAAAAAGATAGAAAGTTACAAAAGTAGTTTAAAGGTTTAATTGTACCAAGCAAATATTAATAAAATTCACATCTTTATCACTATACAAAATCAAAATCATCATTAAGATCATTGCTAGGAGCATGGACTGAGATATCATTAGTTGGGCGAGGAAAAGTAGGAGTAACAATATCATCGTGCAAAGGTGGAGGATCAGCAATGTCCATATCTTCATCACCTATATAAGACAATAATCAATATTAATGATTATGCAAATAGTTATATATTCATCTAAGAATACTAATAGAATCTTAATTATATATATAAACCTTCATTATCCCTCTCAAAAGTT